AGCAGCCAGGAAAGATTGAGTTAGAAGAACAAGGTGATTATATATAAAATTGATGAGTGCTACCAGACCTCAGTGGGGAAGTAAGTTCCTTGACAGACCAGCTTCTAGTTAGCTGTAACAATTCTTTGTATTTCCTCTACTTTTACTTTGGTAAATTGAAGCTATGTCAGTGGTACATGTAGGAATGTGCCAGAGTTTTAATAAGATTTGATCTCCTAGGAAGCTGTCAAGGAATCCATGCTCAGGTTCCAGGCCCAGCTGTCTGGGCCATCTCAGCTTAGCTTTAATGAAGTGAAAGGACCATTTCCCTTCACCTTCTTTAATGACCAAATTCCCAAGCCACTGAAGTAAGCCAATAACCTCATGCTGTGTTTGCAATTTCTGCAACATCCTTTGCATGACAAAGCAATGTGGACTGACCACAATATTTCACCTAGTGCTGAGATTATTTCTCCTGAGGCAGTGTTCAGCCTTACAGCTAAGAGCACCATTTTTTCCCCCTTCCTTTTTACTTTGGGGTAAGTTTCTCTGTGATAATCCTGCTTTGAGCTTCCACCAGGGTATTGCTCTGCTCAGTCAGAAAAAAAAAAAAATAGAAAAATAATGCACCTTCACCTTGTTTCTACAGAGGAGTCATTCATAAATTTGACTTTACAGACCAGGAGGAAGCTGCTCCGTAGCTGAATAGTTGTATATCTGAATAGCTACAGATTTCCATGTCAGCAGTCAGGACAGAGCCACAAGATGATTACACCTATGAACATTTGTGCAGCTCAAATAACTAATAGAGTCCAGCCTAAAATGATGATCTATTGCCATACTTGATTGTTATAACAAGGACAGTATTTCAATTAATTAGGACCTGCCCTTTCTTGCAATTACTGATGTCTGATCTGTTTTCAGGCCAATGGGTTATTTAGAAGGTCCTTCTTGAAATGTCTTTCCCCTTCATTCTCTGTGTTTCTGTTTGAATCTGGCCATTTCCACCCATTCTGCCCTGGGACAGGACTTTCAGGGACTCTGATGTGAGGATGACACACTGCCGCAATTTGAGTCACCTCCACTTGAATGTGGAGTGTTGAGTTTGGTGAGAGCAAGGCAACCCTTCGAGGCAACCCTGGCACCAAGGGTTAACACAGAACTTTGCACTGAGAGAGGGATGCTGAATTCAGCAGCTGGAATTGCAAGCAGTGAAAAGCACAGGTTTGCAGAGTGAAAGCACCTGGGAGTAGATAGAGCAGGAGCTCTTCAGCACCCTGACTTCACTGAAAAACCCTGTGCACGTTCCCTCCTCAGCCCAGCACCTCCTCATACAATGCTCGAGCTCACGTGGCTGCATGTGTATCCTGTTTGGATGAGAGCTGTATGAGATGTGTGTGCATGAGAGCTTCAGCACAGCTGTAGGTTAATAGACAAGCAGGAGGAAGACCCCATGTGGAGTGGATGCAATGGTGTGTTTCAGACCTAAAGGGAGCCAGGGATAAAACAGGAGCTAGGCTATCAAGGAGTCAATGGTACAAGGCAATACAGCATGTTAGCAAGAGATAGAAAAGCAGCCCAGGGGACATGAATGGAGACAAGCCCTGGGGCAGATTCTCTTTTCTCTTTGGCAAATGCAAGTAGTGAAAAAAGGCAGAGCTCATCTCTAGCAGGAAGATGGACAGGAAGGTAAATTCCTGCCAGGAAAGGAGGAGTGGGGAAGTGGAGGATTTATTAGCTCAGTTTTTTTAGCCATTCATTTTGCTTTTCAAGAGGCTCTTAAATAAAATAAAATAAAGAAAAGCCAGTGAGTCAAGAAGTCCTAAATCAGCTAGGAAGGCACTTCAACAAATCAAGGGCTTGATGATTCTGTGGTTTGCCCTAGATTCAGGAGAAGATGTAAAATAAATATGCAGCAAAGACTACAGGTTTAGGCCTGTTCACAGTGGAAATGGGGCAGTGGGGAACATGTCCAAGGACCCTCGCAGCTGCAGCTCATCCTTGTGAGCTGGAATATGTGTGCTGTAAAGAGCAAACTTTGTCTGCAGGAACCCTCCAGGGAACATCCAGAAAACTTTGTGCTGTGGCACTGTCCTCAGCGGAAGCCCAAGATCTAGAAGCACCTTGTCTGGATGTGCATGAAGGGAAAAAGTGCTAGAAAAGGAGGTGCAGTCCCAGGGCCTATGACCTACAGCGCTGAATTGGGGGCAAAAGCAGAGCGTGTGGAGGAGCAGTTGGAGTATGGTGAGGACAATAAAGAACGTGCTGCATCTCTGCATTTCTGCTGTGCTAGAGTCTTTGTGGGTGACCTTGAAGAAATGTAGAGTCTTGGGGAGGAAAGTGGGCTGGGGAGAGAGAGCAGGCTCAGTCCCTTAAAATATTCCCTGCTTCCTGAAATCTCGCTCATATTTCCTAACCTCGCATCCCTGTGATGCCACCGACCCTGCCTGCACTCCTCTCCCACTATTCCGTTACCTCCTCCCTTGGACTTGTGTCAGCCTCTCCCTAAGATTAAACTTCTTCATTTGAAGAGTTTGGTGACTATAGGCACCCAAAAGTATGAAAACTCCACCCCGTGCTCACACTAGACCTGTCCCAGTTGGTTTTTATCTTGTTGAACTGGCTCTGAATACACCAATAAACAAGTCAGCTCACTGCTGGTCCAAGAGGGACATCACTGCAAATCTAGTCAAAATTTGCCCGTTTAGATCTTAATTTATTCCTATGTGAAACTTGCATGTTTGTGGCCCCCTTGACCTCTCCTCCTCCCTATCCCCTTGGCCTTGCAGCCATCCACAGGAATGGAATGACCACAGGAATAAGGTCAGGTTTTTACATCTGCCACCAGCTTGGCACTCAAATCTCCAGCCAGAAATAGACTTGATTTCAAGTGCATGCTAACTTATCTCCTCCGTTACCAGAACAAAGCTCATAAAAAGGAAATTTGAGGCTTCCCTGAGGGTGCTGGGAAGACATGGTGGATAATAGGAAATTTTTGGAAGGAGATTTGAGAAGTGGATTTTACTCACTCCCTGTATTGATAAAGGCTTATCATATTCCTTTGCAAAACCAGAAACCACATGGCGAGACACCGTTTTTAAATGTTAATGCATCTTTAGAGAATAATCAGTAGCGTTTGATGGCTTGTGCTAGCTCTAGGAGAAGCTTTGTTGTCTAAGAAAAGAAACAGCATTCATCTAGAGTTCTTGTCATTACTGGATGAAAGAAAGGTTATTGCTTTAGTAACAAAGAAAAAAAAAAGATCTGAATGATAAGCACTATAAAATACTTATCTCCCCAGATGTCTCTGGGATAATGTGAGCTGAAAGGAAATGCTTATCTCATTGAAGGACATCTTTGGATGACATGGCTTTTTTTTTTCCAGAGCTAAATTCTTTTTATGGGATAGAGGTGGAAGGATTTACTTAAAACAGTGAAATAATTACTAGATACAGTGTCCCTGCAAATTCTGCTACTGAGTCATTTTATAACCTTGGGCAAGCTGCTGTATCTCAGCTTCTGCACTGGGACAACAATTTGTGTAATAATCTCACCACCATGAAAAGTATTTTTGACATCCCTGGAAGTTACCCTATTAATACTAGATATAATATGATAATATATTTTAAAAACTCAGCTTTCTGTATTTAAAGTAATCTAAAAGAGCACATCCTCATTAGCTGGCAGATTGAGATGTTTATTGAAACCATCTATGAGCCACGAGAAGCTCATTTTGCGGGTGAGCTCAGTGTGTGTCAACAGGCAGTGCTGGCAGTCGGCTGCCTAAAAGGATCCCCTCTCTTGGGCATCAAAGAGACGAATGCAGACTTGGACACTCTTTGATTATTCTCAAGAATGGGCTGCATTTTAAAAATAATTGCAGTTTTTGGCACTTCCACTTATAATATCAAATCAAGGTGGACCCCTAGGAGGCCTGTCTTTTAGAAAACATGAGGGCCTTTGACCGAAAATATAGCCTTTTTTAGATATCTCTTAACAAGCACAAAAAATAGGCCAGGACCACCATTTACTTTTTATATGCATAGGCACATGCATTTTTATTTTAAAATTTAGGTTATGTGCTATTTTTCCTCATGGTTGTTACCTCATCAAGGACTTTTCTGTTTTCTATTTTAATTTTAAATGCTTCCTTTCTATATTTTGTACACCCTACTGACAGAATACAGAAATTATATCAGGTAAGGACATGTATTTTCTTTCTGAATAGTTGCAGCACTTTCTCGTTATATGTGCAGTTAGGAACACACACTGGGGCATCGGGCAGCAGGCATATGTGATAACAAGCCACAATCCCTAGTGCCCACCCTCTCCCTATCAGTGCTGTGCTGGCTAAATCCATCCGGTCCATCTGCCATGCAGTGACCATGTGATTGATTGGACACAGTCAGGATGACCTCTGAAGAATTCTTTCCAGGAGAGTGCTGTTTTCCATTGCAAAGGCAGGCGGTATTTGGAGAGAGTCTGAATTTTGACCAACACTATAGATGCCACAAGTCTTTGTACTGCCTCACATTCTAGCCACAATGCCCGGGACAGCTCAGCTTTGGTGTAAATGCAGCCCTTCAATCTGCTCATAAGGTATAACTCTGAGAATAGTCTGTTTAACCCCAAATGGAGTCTGGATCCTCTAGTCCAACTGATGGCCATGGATCTATCTGGTCGCACAGACCTCTCGCAAGACCTTATGTGCAAGATGCTTGTTCACTGTGGGTTGTATTTCCTAGTGGGGACTGTAGGCTGTTGAACTTACATTTCCTAACAAAGCCACAGGAGCCTCAGGCAAGCAGGAAAGTTTCATGCTGTCTTCCCAGCTCCCATTTTCCTCTGTGCATGCTACCTCCCTGTCATGGCCCATAGTGTCTCTGCTCTCGCGTGAAACACATTTTCTTCAAGCAAAGGAACAAAGAAAGGAAGATTGATCTTCAAAACAAACAAAACAAAACAAAAAACGCCCTTGCACACATAAAGGGGAAAAAGAAGAGGGCAAATTTTTTCCTTACAGTCATTTGTGATCTCATAGGGGGAGTTGAGGCGTGCGTCTCCGCAGGGTGACGTGCTCACATACAGATGGAACAGGATGTTCTCGCGCAGCCTGTAGCCTCCGTCTTTTAACCGCACGAAGATTGATCGTTCCCAGTCTTCTCGCCGTTTGCTATGATCACAAAAGAGGTTCCAGGTCATTTGTTACATCCCAAATCAGAAACATTTCTGCTCTCTCTCTCTGTTTTTCTCCCCGTGTTTGTTTGTTTTTATTAGCACCTGGCATCATATATTTTGCCTACTGACAATAAGAGAAAAATAATAAGCTTCTCCAAGTGAAGAAATGTTTGAAAGAGGTCAGATCTGTCAATGTGCTTTTGGCTGGTTTACCTGGAATATATTCTAACAATAAAATGTGCGGATATTTGAAGGATAACTCTTCTTCTTCAAAGGTACAGATGCATAAACATATTGATTTTGAAGCAGTTCTGATGCATGAAGAAAGGAAGAGTTCTTTTTGGCTCTCCAGAGGAAAAAAAAATCAGCTCTGTTTATCAAAGTGCCCAGGCAGATGTTTAAATCTCATTAACATTACTGTGACTGAGATGTGTGTTTATATGTGTTATTTTATGACCCTTGTCAATGCTCCCCTTGCCCCAGCAGACTCAGCCAAAAATGAGCATTGCTTTTCTTCCCATTCAACCAGATCCTCACATGGGAGCTCCAGGCAGCTGCGAGCAGTGTCTTCTGGGTCACTCAGCATTTCTAGAAGCCAGAACCCATCCTCAAAAGTGAGGACAAAGCTTGCACAAGCTTTTCTCAGCTGAGCTGAAAAAGATACTTATTAAGATGAAGCTTTTATCTCTGAAGTGGTTCAGCAGCTAGATGGGGACACAGTGCACATATTCCATTAGTAACAGCTTCCCGGGAGGCCAAATCCCTCCCTGTGCTGCTGTTTGCAGCGTGAGCAGCGTTACGACTCTGCTGTGCTGTAGCTTCTCCCATGATTTACATCTGTGGAGACATGAGCGATTTCTCTGGTAGACTCTAATGTGTATACTTGGGTGATGGTTATAATTTTGAAGGTGAAAATGCAACTAGTGGGATTTTAATTTTTTAGAATCCTTTCCCTCCACCATCCTGGTCTTTCCATCAAGAAGTCAATGATCTTTTTATAGGAATACCTCTGATTAGAAAGGTAGCTGCAGGTAATGCTTTTTGAAGGAGGCTCTTAATAAGCCCGAATTTTACCCACTGCAGGACAGCCTATTTACCAAGGCAATTTCTGCCGGTTTCTCTGCCTCCCATTCATGTAAGCAGAGAGGCTTTCTCCACAGCCTCCGAGCAATTCCTTGGATTTAATCCAAGCTGCCTCTGCCTGTTTTTCCCCTGTGCAGCCCCTGTGCTATTGAAGCTGTTTGGCTGTCACTCTTGCATGGTTTGGGTGTTTTGTCATTTTTTGATGCTGGGATGCGTTCGCTGTCAGGAGGAATTTACAGGCACATTACCTCGTCTGTCAGGAACGGTGAGCCACCCTGGCTTCCCGAGCGCGGCTGCTCCTTCGCTTTTCTGCCAGCTCTGTTGGAATTTCCCAACTGCACTAATTATATTATCGCCCTGGCACAAGCCTCCAAAATAATAAAATACCTGTAAGTCCTGCTGCTTGAACTTTAGAGCGATCGCAGTTGCTATTAAATAATTCACCGCAAAATCAGCCTTGAGACTAAAAAGCAGTGCATCCCTAACGCCTGCTATTACTCCGTTAAACCTCATTAAAGCAAAGCAGGAGGGGGGACAGCTTGTACTACCTGGAAACAGTTGCTAGGTAGGGATGGAGCAGTCATGGAGCAGGGGGATGCATTACAGGGGTCTGCAGTAGCAGCACCACTCCATTTGTAGCTGTTGTTTTTCACTGATTAACCTTGCTTTCTTCCTGCTCTGATAGAAGGAGAAGGCTCTGTGGCCACTGTGGCTGATGGCTTGAGTGCTGGACAGCTGCCCTCAAGACAGATTATGGGCTGCACGGCAAGGCAGCGTGGTCTTTATCCCATAGGCTCCCGACCTGCCTTTGGGATGGCTTTGTGGGGATTTTCAAATACAACATTTGTGCCTGCATGGTGGCTGAATGAACTTAATGAAACTCTGTTGCTATAAATGAGTTTTGGAGGCCATAGCACCATTGCAAGGTTTGCAGGGGGTCTTGGGGAATGTCAGATCCAAGGGTCATACAGGAACCTTGTAAAAATGAGCCAGCATGAGATGTGCTTCTTCAAAGGCAATTCTCTTGCTCATACTCTCCTCCTGCCTTCCCTTGTGGACAGGCATTTTGAGCTGGGATGGGGAGAAGGAGTTTGGAGCAGCAGTGACTTGCAATGCTGCTTTGCGTTGCCCTACCCCCTGCAAAAAGCCACGAGGAGAGGATTCCATAGCAAGCCCACAAATGTCATGCATTCAGCAGGTGGCATGAGTGTGCCAGTTCAGCTGCAGATTAGAAATAAGAATTTCAGCAGAAGAGTCAGGATGAGATTGATTCAAGAAAAATATTTAAGAATGTGCTTAATTTTAATTTTGTGACTTCATTCATCATTATTTATCGTAACACATGAATATGCTTTGAGATGATTTTGAGAGCATTTAGGCATGTCTTTATGATTTAATATACGTGAAGTGTTTTGCTAAAATAAGGCCTTGCTCTCTAAAAATGAAGTAGAGGGTATTTAGCATGTAAATATAGGTATGAGAAGCTTCTAGTACTCATATGTGTCATATGTGTCAGCATGGTATCCTAGAGAAACCCTAACAGCAAGCTTAAAAGGGAAGCAGCTGAATCTGTTAAGAAACTATGGGGCCAGAAGCAAGAATTAGTAGATGTACAACAAGAAGCTGGCTTTAATGGAGAAAATTTGAAAAAGGGTCTTTGTTTCTTCCCTATAGACTAGTCAGTACAAATAATCCCCTGATGTAAATGCAAATTTTACAGACATCACTGCAAGAGAATCACATTACAATTTTTATGTGCCTTTTTGACTGAGGTTTACAAAAAAAAACCCTCTCACAAGTTCTTTCTCTTCCTCATCTCCTTCCTCTTGTGCATTAGAAAATCCGGGTCTTGTTTTTTATTTTTTTGGTACAAGTTGAAAACTAGAAGATTAAGGTTGTCATAAAAAGGAAATCTGGGAGGAGCAGTTTTAATCAACTGGTTAGAAGCTGTTAAAGAGGCTTTATCTGTGTTTTCTTTTAGCTTTGATTTAATTCAAATTCAAAACAATAAATAGTTGAAAGAAAGTTTCCTTTCAAAGTATTTGACAGCTACTTCTTAGGACAGTGTTCCCATTCTGGAACTGGACTCGTTATCGCTGTAACTTTGACTTGTGGATGAGATTATATGCCCTGAGCTTTCTACACTTCAAATATCTGAAGCAGTCACCCAGTGATATCTCTATAATAATGGAGAAAAAATGGCCCAGTATACGGCAATACATCTTTACAATAGGTATCTAAAATCACACTGCTGAATCGCACTCCAGAGATGCCCATTTCTCTGCACAGATGAGTACTGGGGGATCTCGCTCACACTTGACTGACTAATTTTTAGACATATCACGTGAGGTGTCAAGAGGTAAATTCCTTCCACTCAGTGTATTCACCTTCCCTTTCTGTTCCTGCTGCAGTCTTTCTCTTGCCTTCCTGTCCCCACTCTTTGAAAGCCCTTGGCTAAACTCAGATAAGTACATACTTTCCTTTCACTGAGGTCAATGATGGTATTTACAAGTTCTGGAGAAGGTGGCTCTTTGCAAGGAAAACAATATATCGGGAAAAAAAGTATATTGGAAACTACTGAAGTTCAAAAACCAGCTGCAGAGATCAATTTGAGTAGGTAGGCTGGACAGAAGGAAGATGTTTGAGAAACAGGGAACAGTCTCTGCAGAAGTAACTTGCCTCTTACTAACTTGACTTCCCCTTCCATGGGGAAGGACAGAGAATTTGAGCTCTTTGAGGCAAAGACCATGTTTTCACTCTTTTTTTTTGGGCTTAGGAAGCTGTTTTTCTGGTCTCAGCTCATGCACTACTCCTCTGAACAATAGGTTTATGGATCATGAGAGGACTTTAACTAATGCAAATGCATGGAACATATATTTGTTGTCCCCCTAAGCCTAAGGAGTTTGTGACCACTGAGTTTAGCTGAGTTTGGCTAACCTATCACATCCATCCTGCAAACTTTCATTTTAGCTACAGCTTCAAGTGGTTTCTCTGTCAGTTGAAGCTCTCTCTCCTTTGCTAGGGAAAATTGTGCTTTTATATGCAGAAAATGTGCTTTGCGTTTCATTTTAAACACCTCCATTTTCTTGCTATTATGACTATGCTCCTGAATGAGTACCGGCAGTGAAAGAATAGGCTATAACTCAGTATTTTGCTTCCACACGGACTTCAAGAAAGCAAAATCTTGAAGTTCTGTTTTTCAAAGGTGCTTAGCCTCGATAATTTTGGTTGAAATTTTTATCATGTGTGCAGGTCAGAGAATCTGTGATTGCTGTTATTGGATGAACAGAGAGAGATTTGAAGTTATTGTAAGCAGAGTTTTCACTGCACTGAAGATTCTGTTAACAAAAGACTATTAACATTGATCCAAATAACATAATAATATGACTGAATGTGTTGGGGAGATAGATCAATACAGTAGTTTAAGATACAGCGGTAGTAGTTCTATCCCAAGAGACTATAGCACAAAGCAAGTATCAGGGTTGCTAACTGATGAAAACACAGTAATTTAATGTAAATTTAAAAACATTGCAGATTGAAATTGAGACACTATTGGTTTTGATTAAACTCCTTCAGGCTCCTGTCCTGCTTTGTTAGCCAAGCTCATCCACTCAGTACATCCTCTTGTCTTTATCCCTGCTTGAAGTGGAAATAACCATTCCTTTTACTGCAGATTCAGTGCCAGGAATATCACAGGTGATCATGAGAACATACAATCCTGAAATCCTGTGTGACCTGTTGCAAAACCTGCTGAAGTCAAACAAAGTTTTTGCTTTGAGGTTACTGGCCTTTACAAAAACCTCCATGAAAATATACGCAAAAACATAGAGCAGAAGAATGGTATATATAGGGATTTTTACTTATTTTCTTTCTTTCCTTCCTTCCTTTCTCAATTCCTTCCATACAATGGAACAAATGCCTCCTCAACTTCACTTTTATTTGTCCAGCCCTCAACTATCCTGGTCACCTCTGAATTTGTTCCTGCTCTGGAGGCCCAAAGTTGAATGCAGCATATAGGGATGATCTAATGAGTGCTGAGTGGAGGGAATAATCACTTCCCTACATAAGCAATTTGTAAAATCCAGGGTGCTGTTGATTCTTTTTGCTGCTGGATCACATTCAGCTTGCTGTCTCCTAAAAGTCCCAAGTCCTTTCTAAGAGAGATGCTTCTCAGCTAGTCAGGCTCCAGCCCGTGTTGTTGAAGGTGGCTCTTTCCTCCCAGGTGCAGGACATTGCATTTGTTTCATAAAGTTCCTGTTGACTCATTTCTCCAGCCTGCCTAGGTTATTCTGGACCTCCTTGTCCTTAAGGATATTCCCTGCCTCCCTCCACCCCAAATTTTGTGCCACTTTCAGATTTAAAGTTGATGAAGAAGCACTCCCATAGCCTCTTCTACAGGCTTGATAGCAGTGTTAAACAGGATTGATCTCAGGGTAGACTCCTTGCAATACCCTCCTTGTAATTGGCCTCTAGGTATTGTATGACATGTTAACCATTTAGATGGATAAATGGTTAACCATTTAGATGGATAAATGGTTAACCATTTAAAGGGTAAAAAGGTGTGTTTGGTTAAAAACAAGAGCAATAAAGCTTACTAGATTTCTCTGCAATAAAGAAGGAGTCATAGCACCTTGTATGTTGATACCAAGTTTACTGATTGTTAACACTGATTGGCAAGTCAATGAAGGAATTAATGATCAATAAATCACTTGTTTAAAATATTTTAGCAACTGCAAGGAAGACAGGAAAATGTCTACAATGAGCAAAATGACCATCTTCCAATCTCTGATCAGGGAGTTATGTTAATAAGCCTGCATGTAAAGATTTTTATAAAATCATCAGACTTCATAAAGCACAATTTTATGAGTTATATCTGATAGCTGTTGAAAGAAAATCAGCTGAAGTAAAGGAGCTCATGATACGGAACTCCAGATTAACTTGTATTTTTTTTTCTCCTTTGTGCAATGTAATGGCCATTCATCAGCCACAAACTCAGAAACAATATAAAGAAATTAATAGTTGAAATGTCTGTAGGATGGATCTGTTCAACAGAATACCCTATAGCATTCCCCAAGCACCAAGACAATTCTGTTACCTTAAGTGGAGCTCCAGCTGTGAGTAAAGGAAATGAACAAATGCCCTTCTTGCCACAATTTCTGCATGGCAGTCGTTGACCACAAGCCCTTGGTCATTAATGTATTCTCCATTTATACATTTGGTACCCGATGACAGCGCAATAACCTGAGCTTGCCTGATGTCCAAACCTGTAGAAAGAAAAACAAAAGGGTTGTGAAGGTGCCTGGGGGTGGGAATGATATCATAATTATTAAAGTTCTTGCAGCCCACACTTTGATGTGGCACCTGAGACAGCCCTAATGGGATGCTTGTAAAAATGATGATATGGCCTTTGGAATACAGAGGAATCTCACATCTCTGCGTTATTAAAATAATAAGGGTCCTATTTCAGCCTAGATGCTAATTCCAAGATAAAAGCTTGTCATGAAATTTACTTGTTAAATCAATAAGTACATCATGGGAGAGCACATGCTGTAGGAAGGTAATAAAGATCTCCTGCAGTGCTGATAAATGGCCACGTTTTTATGAGCTGTTGAAGACTTTTTCTAGTGGGAACACACACTCCCTGTAATGTTAGCTTTCATTGCTGTTGCACTAGACGTGCTAAATAAATGCAAGTAGCCATTACTGCTCTTTAAAAATTGCAGAGAACAAACAGATCTAACTTTTAAGTCCAGTCTCCTTTTCTGTTTTCCTAAGAGCAGCTACAACACTGTCCCCACAAAGATGGAGCACTCCTTGCTGAGACCAACTCTGTCCGTCTGCTACCTCTCCAGATTAAACGGGTTGGTAACTGAAGGACATTATTTTCTTGTTGCAGATAGACTCTTTATGGGATTAAATCCTGATTTCTTTGGTGTCAGTGGTGAAATGCTCATAGACTTCAATAGAACCTAGATTTCACTTCAGAATATATTTCATTTGGTTGTGACGACAATTTCAAAGAGGAGTTCAGAATGAATGAGCCAAAAATGAAATAAGCATAGAGCAGTACATTTCAGGATGCATCTCTCTGAATGACAAAGAAGCAACTCTTGGAACAAAGTACCATTCTGAATGATGGGTGCCACATCTGGATGAGACAAGATGTGCTTAAAAGTGTCAGACTATGAGAGCTACACAGAATTACTGAAAGTAAGTAATAACACATGCAGCATTGCAAGTCAGACTCTATGGTGCCATTTAACTCATGAGGTCTCTGGTGTCGTTTTGAATGTCCTCAGTGTCTTGCGTAATCCCCAGCTCCTGGTACAGGAAATCTTGGTGCCCAGGATGTTCTGTGCCATTGTCACCTATCCCTTATGCAAGTTCCCCCAGATGACTTATTGAAATTAGATGCTTACATTCCAGCAACTGAATGAAGCCTTCAAAGTCTGATGGATCAGTAACTAAGATAGGTCTAACACTGCCTGTGCCCACAGGAAACAATCTTGTCAGAGCCCAAATATTTCTGATTTTGATGCCTTTTCATGGAGAATGTTTGTGCATACTGAATATGCACAAACAATTATCTTTTTTTTCTTATTTCTATGATTTTTATTTTAGTTGGAAAAAAAAAGCTTTATTTTTTAAGAGTCAGCAATCTTTTGTATGTATGTGTGTTGAAGTCTATTGAAGTCTACTGAGTGGCAGAAAAAAAGTAAGAAATTGCAGAGATTTTTCTGGTTTGGAAGCACCATGCTTCAGGCCATGTTCTTCCATAAGACCTATGGGTTGGATATGAGAAAACAGTAGAAAGGAGAAAGAAAGAATATTTTAGAAGTTTGTTGCTGTTGATGATGCTAGTAATGTAATTAAAAGTTTGAAATCATTCTAATTTTATCACTATTGTTGAGAAAGAAAGTTTGAGATAGATTAACAGTATCCCTCCATAAAAAGAAAGGAGGCAATACTACAAATGGCTTTGGTGTCACTTTGCTTTAGGGACATTTCTTTTATGAAAAAGGTAATTATGTCTTCGGTCAGACTAGGTAACTTTGTCCTTTGCATTGGTTAGTACCAAAGATTTCATGGGGCTTTGCAAGCAGCGGAGGTTTTGTGTCCAATTGAGCATCTCCAAGAGAAGCTTATACTTGCCTAACCAGCCAGCATATAGTACTGGAAAGTTCATAATAAGGATCAATATTTTTTTGTTTCACTTTTATTTATTTATAAAGAATGTACACAGTTTTATTTTCCTCAACACAGTCAAAATAAAACAGCAAGAGGCAGTTTCCTAGCTCAGAAACCACAAGCCTTTTTGCCAGCCGACTCATGCACCTGAGGAGCTCTGTCAATAGTATTTCTGAGGGCAGTGATACCAGCTGCTTCTTCGTCTTTTCATCCTGACTTTCTGACTTTTTTGCCTTCTGAAGTATGCCCTAAAGTGCCTCCCTTTCTCCTCCTTCACCTTGCAATCAATGCACAAGTTTTGTAAATACAGGGAAAACCACCTTGGGAAGCCATCTTGTCCTCCAGGAGGTATCATTTACTTCTACCCTTCCAATCAATCCAGTGCTTTGTGTGATGGGTTTTATTATTTCAAACTTCCTACCTATAAATGAGCTTGCCTCCCTTCTAACATGGGAGGAATTTCATTAACATGCCCAGCATTTCCTGTGAGCTATGGATTTGCTCACTAATCAAAGGCAGTTTTACAGATGCACTCAACACTCATCAGTGCAGCAATAATATGAATTGCCTCTGATGCTGCTTTCTATTAAAATGCCCACCTGCAAAATAATGCCAAGCTTGTTTGGTTGGTCATTTTTGAGTGAATAAGATATGTGTGTCCGCTCTCAGTGGCAGGGGACCTCCTGCATGCTGACACAGACTAATGTGTTTGCCAGTCCTTATGAGGTGTGTTTGCTGAACATCACATTAATGCTTCCTGCAGATGCAGGGTGCGGATGATGCTTTCCAAAATCCATAGAACGAGCCTGGGTGTTAGACACTGAAGGTCTCCAAGTTTCTCCCATTTTCAGTGACAGTAAAATAACCCAGGTTCCTCCAATGCACCGACATAACCAAGAGTTGTGTCTCACTATCAAAGCAGTCAGAAACAGGTTTACATGACTTAAACATTAGTTCTGAAATATTTACACCTCCCTAGGGAGACAAATGAGGAAAGCAACATGTGACCAATGTACCACAGTTCAACATTTCATGTGAGGGCACTCTGCATGATGAGAAGCAACCTGAGAGGTATCCTATGTGTCCAGGTGCATATCTGCTAACAGATAGCTCTTTTGCATGCCTTATGTTATGCATACGTACAGTTGGAATTTTATTCCCTTTGAAATGCTTGATATTACTTCCTATGAACATAGGAAGAACTAGTCTATGAGAATAACACATGTGATGCCCAGCTAGTGAAGGTAAATTTTGCCTATGTCGGATCAAATGAACATTTTACACAGCATTTCTATCTCTTAAGCCTAGAAGCTTGCTACTAGTTATTCACTAGTGATAGGTATGTCTGTGCATTTATCTATTTTGCATAAGAAACAATTATGAGTAGCTGTTGTTATTAATATTTACTGTTTTATTTTGCCTGAAGAATACTTTGTATTTCTCAAATGATTCCTAGTTAGGAACATCAGACAACCTCCTAAAGGTTTTATCCAACGAGGAGGAGGCAGGGCAGTAAGTAGCCTTGCCACACTGGACTTCAGGAGGGCCAACTTTAGCCTCTTCAGAGACCTGCTGGGAAAGATCCCATGGGCTAGGGCTCTAGGAGGAAGAGGGGCCCAGGAGAGCTGGTTAGTTTTCAAGCGGCATTTCCTCCATGCCCAGCAACAGTGCATCCCTSTGYSTAAGAAGTYGGGCAGAGGGGGCAGGAGACCTGCATGGATGAGCAGAGAGCTGCTGGCAAAACTCMAGCAGAAGAAAGCAATAYATAGAATGTKGAARAAAGGACAGGCCCCTTGGGATACATACAGGAACGTTGTCAGGGAATGCAGGGATGCAAC